CTTTCTGGGGGTGTCGATCATTCAACAGGCCAGGCACTATGAATCGAGCACTTACTGGGGACCCTTTGCTAGACACTGGCTTAAAAATACCCGTGGCCCAATTGGACTTAATGGGCCAGGAGCTAATAAATGCTATTTCACTATTAACATCCTCTTAGCTAGTGAGGACCCTGGAGGTGTAGTGATTACGGGCTGGGCTGCAATCTGCTAGGTCAGCGGTTCAAAACCACTAGCTGCTCTGAGGGAGAAAGACCAGACATGATACTCCTTGGAAACTCACAAGGGTGGTTCTACCCTGTCCTATAGGGTCACTATGAGTCAGTATCGACTTGATGGCAGTGAGCTATTGAAATAACTGTTAACCTTCCACCATGGCTCCTTGGTCACTATCTCCTGTAATACTCACATGCATGAGTTTGAGGTGGTTGCCGGATTCTGGCTCAAAGCCTCTCTATGAGTGAGTGCAATTGTCCCATAGGGTTTCCTAGGCTGTACTCTTTACAGAAGCAGATCGGCAAGATTGTTCTCCCACAGAGCCATCCACTGATGGGTTTAAACTGCCTGCAGCCATGTGCTTACCTCTTGTACCATTGGCGGGAGGTGGGGTGGGGGTTGCAAGCGTTTGGGAGGGACGCCTTTTCAACCAAGTGTAACCGACATATCCAGATGTAACCTTCTCAGCTTTAAAACGCTATGCATTTGAGAACCATTAATTCATCATCGGTCCTCCCCAAACAAAGTCTCAGCATCTTATTGCTGAACAAAAGCCACCCGAAGGTGCAGAGCTCCAAGGGGTCTTGTGAGAGTGATGAGAACAAGGAGCGTATCACAGAGCTTCTCCAAGCTCATAGCGACTGCCCAGCAACCCGTTCGCTTGAAGTCAAGGCCCGACAGCTGTTTTTCAGGTGCTGAGAATAGCACCTTTGAGAGGAGACTGTCAAGGAAATCCATGGTCGCCTTGTGTGTGTGTTCATGAGGCTGTGAGAGGAAGCAAAACCAATTATCTATCAGCAAACTGACCTCAAAGAATGGGAAATATAACAGTTCTGCAGGTCTGAAAGTAAATAAAATCCTGTTTCTTACTAAACGGCTCTCTTAAAGGAAAGGACTAGTGCCTGCTTTAGCTTGGAGGATGAAATTCCCCTAGGAAACCAAGCATCAAAATCTACAGCTAGAGACCCTGGCGCGGAGGTGCTTTTGTTTGTCTCCCACGGTAATCCTGCGAGAGGTGCTGCTAAGAGACTGGAGACTCGTGTGCCAGCTGGGTTTCTGCTACCATGGGTACGCAGCTCCACTGCCACACGCCTCGGGCCCAACCCTCATCATAGGAAGGCTAATTGACATGTACTGCATTTGTTCCACTATCAGCCAAGGGCCAGGCCTCTCCTGAGTGAGCAAGGCTTTCTGCATATTAAACCTCCACATCTTAATGGTAGTGCTCAGAAGTTCCTATAATTTGAATACATTATATTATCCTCAATGAGGAATGAGATGGATATCATTTTCCCTGTTGAGAAATTAAGTCTCAGAAATAATGAGGAACTTACCCAGAGTCTCCAAGGTACTCAGTGTCAGAGCCGAGAGTCCAACCAGGTCATTCGGACATCAACGCTTTTATTTTATCCAGTCCACTGAGCTACTGGACTTCCCATGGGTCTCCTGTTTTACTGTGAAGGGCAGGTCTCCAGTCACTCAGGGGAATATTGGAGTTTTGTTTCTATACATCTCCATAGTCAAAGGTGGCTGGGTACAAATTCTTCTGATTTCTGTTGCCCAAATTTCAGATTTCTATAATGGAGACACTATTATTGACTATGGATGTGAATCTAATATAAACTCACTCCTTTTCTTTTTTTTATAATGACATTAGTAAGGTGTAGCCTTGAAGTTACCATCTTCTTTTCTAACTACAGTTTTGTGTTGGAAACATTGCCCAAGAATTGTTGGGTAGAAAAAGACTGTGAGAGCAATTGTCTCTAGGGAAGTTTCACTTTAGAAGCCCCAATTCTGAGAACTGTAAGCGTCGTGAGTTATTTCACAGAGTGACAACAAGCCTAATAATACATACTAAATTAAAACCCCAGAGAAGTTCAACCTCAGCTATCGAGAAGGCAGTAGAGTAGTAGGTCAGGGAGATGGGATTACAAAGCTCCTTTGTCTCGACTGAAATAGAGGGCCTGCCTCTGTGATCGTTTGTTCTTGTCTCCCAGGCAAGAGTCAAGATGATCCTGAGCTTTTTTTTTCTTTCAATTCTCAGACAAAAGCAAAACAAAAAAAAATAATAATCAAAATAAATGTGACATTGCCCCCAGAGAAACGCGAATTTCTCTTCCCAGCTTCAGTTTTCAAGGGAAAGATAAACACAAATGTTTCTCTGTTAGGAAATCATGCTCATATGTGATGTTTCCATTCCATTACAAATTGCATCAAGCTTTTATTAATGTAACACTAGCTACTATAACAAGCAAGCCTTGCGTTTCAATAGGGTAATGCCATAGAAGTGTATTTTTTCTTTCACATATAACCGTTCAGCATGAGTATTTCTAGCCAGCAGTGGATTCTCCTTCACGCATGGGTCTGGGAGCCCAAATTTCTGCCGCTTAATGACTCAGCTATGCTCTAGGGCCCTGTTTTTTACTGGCATTAGGGAGGGGGTGTAAAAGGAGTGTTTGCTTCTAAACTGCCTTGCTTTGCAGGGGACACACACCATTTCCATAACAATTCATCAGCATCTCCAGCCCCTTTGCCATGGGGCATTTCCCCAGGATGATGCATCCATGGAAAAGGGATGCGCTCTCCTGCACAGTTGGCCATCGAAACCACGAGACAGAACCTGCACCTTCTTCAATTGTGCTACTTATCGAATTTTCATCACATAAATACTTATTCCTCACCTTTCCTCTGGCCCTTTACCCACTTCCTTCAGATGGCCATTCCTGGAGATGACGGCTTCCCCCTGAACAACTGAGCCATTGGGCAGGGAGCCTAGACTATTTCCTATCACACTGAACAATCTCCGTATGTCACGCTCATCGTCCCAGGTAGCCTGCAGACCCTTCCCATCTTGTTCACCACTCGATTCCTAATGTCTACACTTTCTGGGCATAAGTGCTTCGCAAATACATGGGTCTGAAGGAAGAGAGGAAAGAAGGGGAGGAGGTGTAATCTGGTGGCTGGTATTGAAAGAAATTTACTTTTCACTAGACTTTAAAAGGGTATCCAAGAAATAGGCTGTCAGTTCCTGGCCCATCCATCTTTTAGAGAGATAGCGATTTACTCTACACAAGTCCTCTTGGCTATCTCTAATGACAATTAAAACATTAAGAATTTTCTACCTTTTGCCTCTAAACGCCCCCTTTTAAAATTGGCATATACTTCATATATCATATAATTCAATCTGTGCAGTCATCACCACAATCCAATTCAGAACATTTTCTTCTCATATTCATTGTTGGTAGCTCCCCATTTCCTGCTGCCCTCCCCTGCCATGCCCCTCAGTAATTACCAATCTAGCTGCTATCTCTATAGATCTGCCCATCCTGGATTTCATACCCGGAAAATCATACAAAGCACAAACATGAAGCCAGCAAACGAAACCTCCAACACCAATGCCAAGACAAAACACAGAAAAACCTCCATCAAAATGAAAGCAGAAAACATTAAAAACTGAAACAATTTTAAAATGGGTTAAAAGGGAGATTAAATGACAAGGTATCACATTTTAACCTACCTATGTCTGCATCATCAACTTTAAAATGTTCTCTGTCTGATAGGAAGGCTATTCAAATCCCTGTACTATGGTGGGAGGGGATTTACCAGAGCCTGAGTCCATGTGGGGATACCGCAAATGGATTATGGGCTCCTACTGTCATCCATAGCCTTCTACAAAACAGGCGTTCCTAATTTAAGCTCAGATAGCATTCCCTCCTTCACATTTGGATTCCATAATTTACAGTTCTTGGATGACCCAGGCTGGTGTGTTTCTTCCAGGTGAACGTAGCTGACACCTCATTTAGATGGCTGCTTGTTTTAAGACAAGCCTTTAAGACCCCATATGCTATTCTTTCTGATAGTGGACACCATCTGCTTTTTGCACCTCACCTTGCTATAGCACCTACATTTCCAATGAGCTCTTTATGAGGGTGAACATTGAGCAGGGCCACATCATAAGAACTAATTGTTCGTAGATCGGGGATAGAATGGTGAGCCCAAAATCCATTCACATAGCTAAGGTTTATATATGTCTCTGGGTCACTTTAGAGACATCATTATCATTTTATAATAAAGAACATCTAAATGCCTCTTAATGGGATCGAATACTACTCAGCAATAAAAATGAATAAATTATAACAGGCAACAATACACAGTGAATATCAAAATAATTACATTTAGTGAAAGAAGCCAGAAAATACGGGCATATATTATAATGTTCTGTTTACATAAAATTCTGGTAAATGCAAACTAATGTATGACAGAAAACAGATTGGCCGTTGCCTGAGTACTGGTAAGTGTGGGATGGAGTCAGGATTGGTGGGTACGTGTGAATACAAAGGCTATGAGGGCATTTTGGGGGATGATGGATGTGTTCTTTATCTTGATTTAGGTTAAGGTTTCATAGATGCATATCTTTATAAACTTATAAAATGGTACACTTCAAATATGTGTCGTTTATTATATGTCCACTACACCTCAATAAAGCTGTCAAAAAGAGCAAAGATGGATGTGTAGCTAAAGTATGCAAACCCAGAGACACATTTCCATCTCCTTATTTCCAGCCTCTGTGTGGTTTGTGTCTTACAAGATACCTGTCTTGATAGGCATCTATCTCCATGGTGTAAAGCTGGCCAGTGTGAATCCATCCCAGCCGTTAGAGAAATAGCATACTTCTAGGGACCCCTGTCCAAGAGATGCCCCGCCGGAGGAACAGCGAGCAGGCTGCGTAGCCTCCACGCACACATACTAGTATAACCTTTCATCTTTTCTTTCTCATCGGTATCTTTCCAGGTTCAGCAGTCAAGCCCTCCCGATTGCCCAGCCCAGGCTCCCGCCCACCCCCTACCACTACGATGGCTGAAGATGCGGACATGCGCAATGAGCTGGAGGAGATGCAGCGAAGGGCGGACCAGCTGGCTGATGAGGTGAGGCACTGAGATCTGAGAAGCAAGATGAACGATGGGGCGCTGGAATGATTTGTTTTTTAAGGTTCGAGTGGGGAAAGGGCTTCTATGGCCTCAAAAAGAAAAAAAGTATGACTTAGATTTTCAATATGCCTGAGACCCTGGGATAGAAATCGGTTGATTTCAAAACCTGCGTACATATTAGTGTCTTGGTCCAGACTCTCGGCTTCTAGAAATCTTCAGGCGTCAAGGGTCATGAAGGATTCCATTGTCCCTGAGTAACCAGAGGTGTGTTCGCACTGTGATAGCCAACTGCCACATTTTGACGGTACTATTAAAAATGAATTATGTAAACTGACAATTGGATACATTGTACTGAAATCAAAGGTATTACATTTTCAAGACCTCATTCCATAATTATTTTGCTCCATTCTTACTACCCTCTCTGCTCTGACATTTATTGTATCTGTACAGTGGGTATGGTCAGCACTCATTTACTCTATGCTTCGCTATTCAAATTCATGTTCAGTGACGCTATGTTGGTAATGGGAAATAAGACATGATGAAAGTCCTTCTCCCAGGGAAATTTGCAAACACTACATATCTAGGCTTGACTCACTGTTTTGTTGATAGTTTAGATTGTGAGAAATTAGAAAAGATCGTCTGCAGCTCTTACATTCAGAATTTCATAAAACAATTAAGGGAATATTCTTCCAGTATTTAAAAATGCTTATCCCATTTAGCAAAGAAGTCATTTGCATCACATAAATATGTAAAGTTGCGACTTAAGTCTTTATTTTTTCACTTTCACCTTACTCTGTAATACCAATGAAAATCCATCCAACATTCATGTCAAAACTATACTCGTTCATCAAATGTGTGGCTGCAGACACAAGTGTTTAACAAAACTCACCACAAGCATTCTGTGAGAATCAATGGGCTCTGCGGAATTTACAGCCAACATTACTGATGTTTTACCAGTATTGATAAGTCATTTGCTGTTCCCTTTTTATATCAGTGAAATAATACACACACACAGACACACATATTTTTCTGCAGAGACAATTGTGAAGCATTTGCAAGCACACCACTGCTTACAGCCATTCTATTTCAAACACCAGCCTGTGATGGCCCTTAGAGCAAACGGAGCAGTCTTCAGCTTCTTGCAGAGTCTTGTCCAAAATATATTTGTCACTTAAAAGCAATTTTCAGAAATCCCACTGGTTCTTGAATTCTAGTAATTTAAAATTTTTTTAAGTGCCAATATGGTGCCGAAGGGAAAAGCAGCAAGTTCAGACTTTCTGTCTCATTTTCCGCATCTCAGGAGGAAGATAATTATTATAGCTGGCTCCTATAGGCGAGTTATGACAAACATGCTAGCTTTTTTTCCCCCTCAGCCTAAAGCGACAGTTTACTTTTATTGATGAGAACTTCCTATTATGTCTCCAGTGGCTTTCTAAGACAATTGATGTTATATGTATGCTAATTTATGAAAAAGTTTATCTGTGTGTTTAAAACTCAGTGCTCCTATCAAATTAGTTCTCTAGGCTATATTGAATAATTGTCATGGATCCAACACTTGCAAAATTGTCTTTTCATGATTACTATGTCTCTGCTGTCAAGATCAGCTTCGTAGTATTTTGATCTTTATGAAGAAAAGCTGTGATCTAATTGCTTTAGGGAATCGGCCATGTAGAAAGCCTGAGAAGAAAGAGATTTAAATGGAAAGACTTCCTGTGTTTTAGTTGTAAACTTAAAAGGAAACATGTGCAGCCATCCTTTGAGTTTCTCAAGGGAAGAAAATATCCCTGTGGCTTTCCATGCTCCGGGATCCTGCGCTCATAACATTTATGTTCTTTCTTTTCAGTCGCTGGAAAGCACCCGTCGTATGCTGCAGCTGGTCGAAGAGGTAAGGAGCAGCCACATTTAGGGGGTAAAGAAACTAACCCTTTATGCTGACACGTCCTTATCCTAGACCCCACTTTCCCTCCCTGGGATATACTTCCATTCATTCGAATATTAATTTTGCCTGCCAACAAGCCACAAGATGAAGGAGATGCAGTGTTTATTTGAACTGTCAGGTAGCCATCCAATTGTATTCATTCCCTCTCCCTGCTTCAAGCCACCTTTCGCACTGGTATTTCCAAGTAAGTCCTTCTCAGAAATCATAAACACTGAATCACTAGGAAAATCAGGGTGATTCTTAATGTCAAAGAAATTATTTACATAAAACATCCTTGGAATGATTTTGATGCCAATAAGTCAAATCTAGTTCTGACGTTCTGATTTCAACCATAGTAAAAGACTTCAGAAGATCTATCCCCAAGAAGTATCCTATGTTCAGATATAGTTATAGTAAGAGTCAGACCCTGAAATGTATGAAATAATAGAAAGGTGCTTGAAGACTGGGAAATGTCAAGTTCACTGCTGTAAGTGTAGGTGCTGTTCTATGTTCTTGTATCTAGTTTTCTTGTATCTGGTTTGGATATCCATTTCTAACACCTGGTTAATGAATCCCAATCGTCAAATCGGGCAGAGAACAATAAGGAATCAAAAGGGCAGTTGCAATCAGCCTCACTCATTCCAGTTTAGCAGAGCAGCGGTCAACCAGGAAGAATAAATGAATGAATTGAACTTGCCCATTGGGAGAGGCGAGGTGGAAAAAGAATGGAACAGACTATATTTATCTTAGCCTCATGAAACAAGCCTAATCATTCTTTAATTGTGTGTGATGCTGTTTGCACTAGGCTCTGAAACCGGTGATTGATGTGTAAGTTCACGTGCCATGTTCACGTTTGGAGATCTCAGGCAGTCTTTAGCAAATGATGATAGGAGCCTGCCTATTTCATGCTACTGTCAACTGCTTGTGCCGTGCTAGGAAAGGGAAAATAGAAATAAATGTTACAAAAGCTGCTAGGAAAGGAAAAATGGCTCTCTCTCTCACTGAGGAAACCAATGGCTCCCCTTATTTCTGCAGCTTCAGCTTCTCACCTGAGAATGAAATATGACTCCATGTAAATGCATACAGAAGGGCTAGAGAGGATGAAGGGCCCTTGGTGCCCTGGGCAGTCAGGAAAATCTGTTGCCATAAAACACAAAAATGGCAATTTGAGCTTGCAATTTAGCACAAATTGGCCGCAACCCAGCTTGGGGCTGCGCTGCAACAGCAGCCTTCAGTCCCTAAATGGAGCAACTTTTTTCTGCACTCTGTCTTGGGAACACAGCTCATATGCAGAAATGTTAACGATGACTAGGAAAGAGGCAGGTATTCTAAATCAAGGCATGCTGGCAAGCTTTCAGAGTAGACTGTTTTGCCCCCAACTTGCCAAGAGGATATAGGGAAGGGAGGCACCTTGGTAGCATCCCTATTTTGGCTCTGATAGTCACCTGAAGCCTGAAATTCAACTGACTTTGGCAAGTCTTAATGACCTTCAACCATAGTCTCTCATGTCAACTTCCATTTTCTTTTGTGCATATGTAGGTGCAGTGGTTACGAGTTGGGCGCTAACCACAAGGTCATCAGTTTGAAACCACCATCCATTCCATGGAGAAAAATGAGGCTTCCTACTCCCAGAGTTACAGTCTCGGAAACCCACAAGGACAGTTAGTTCTACCCCATTCCGTAGGGCTGCTATGAGTAGGAATCCACTTGGTGGCAATGAGTTGAGACTCACTGTCTCAAAATACATTTCTGAAGTACCAAGAGTACTCTGTGTCTCAAAATAAATCTCTGAAGCATCAGAACGATCATCAATGTGCAATCTTGAAAAGATGCCTAGACTATGGTAGGACGAATGCATCAGGACACATCTTGTCGAGACCCCTCACCTATCCAGACTCTGGGCCTCAAACATTTCCTTTTTATGTGTGTCATCTTAACTGCTGTCAGTGTCAGCCAGTACTGAGAAATGAGTGTCCCTCTAATTTATTCCAGGTGGGGGGGGACATCTCAAAAATAGATTAAAGTGGGATTCTGGAATCCTATGTTCATTTCACCTAAAGTGTTTCTCGATCGAGCCTGAAGTCATATCTTAAAACAAAAAATAAAACAGATGTAAGCTATCTCCCATCTCTAATAAGTGAGGGGAGGCTATTAGACTTTACATCCACAAAAAATTATGAGCAAGGCCCTATTATAATAGATTGATTTGCTTTTCCTTCCTCCTGGGTTATTTTATATTTATGGTCAAACCTCTCTTATGTCTAGGGCATTGACTACTTAGAGGATGTGCTGCTCTTCAATCAAAAAAGGAATTATCTTTAAAAGAGAATCAACATTAAATATTTATCAAGGGAAGAAATCATTTTGAAACTCTGGGCACTGAAATAGCTTACCTATGATCCCCAAGAACCTCAGTGCTATATAATTTGAACTGAGTTGATTTTTTTATTGGAACGTATTCTCAAAGACAAGAAAGGTTGCTGAGTTTATGAAGTCGCTATAAGGCAAAAGAAAATGCTCTTTCACTGGAACAGATGACTTCTGAAACGAAGACTGTGTCTGTTTTATATTGCAGGGTGTAACTGGGTAGCAGGGATGGAGGTTGCTTTTAAGTGAAGGCATCATCACTATTTAAATTAGACAAAGGTCAATTAGAAAATGGTGTAGATTGAATTGTATAGCCTCAAACTAATGTAAATTTGACCTCTGTGCCTGTAGCCAGGGACCCTGCTAGTGTAGTGGGTTAAGCATTAGGCTGTTAAACACAAAGTATTCAACCTCGAGAGCTGCTCCCAGGAAGAAATACAAGGTTGTCTGCTCCCACGAAGATGTACTGCAGTCGCCAAAGGCCTAAGGAACAGTGAGAAGCACTATGAGTCAGAATCAACTCGGTGACATTGGGGTTGGCTTTTATGCCTGTGGCTATGATCCCATTTGGGAATGAGTTGTGCTACTGAGGCAGCACTAGAGGAGGGTAGATTTTCAAGCAATCTCTTTTGAAATATAGAAGAGATTAAATGCAAGTTACCAGGCAGAGATAGAAGAGAAACACCAAGTCACATGGAGATTGCCAAAGAACAGAAGTTCAGAAGAGACAAGAAGCTTCCCCAAGAGCCAGCAGGCAGAGAAAGCCATCCTCAAGGGCTGATGTCCTGAATTCAGACTTTCAACCTCCTAAGCTATGAGAAAATGCATTTCTACTGGTTAAAGCCATCACTTGTGGTATTTCTGCAATAGTACCACTAGATAACAAAGACAGGATTTGGTACCAGAATTCTAGGATTCTCTCCAGCTGATACCTAAAATGTGGAAGCCGTTTGGGAATTGAATAATATGTAAAGGCTGGTGGAGATGCTTAAATGGAAGAGTTAAGGTGCTTAATTGTAAAGCCTATATTGCTTTCAAGAAGTCATTGGTCGACATCAGAGGCAATTCTGGTGAGGGCGCAGCTGAAGTGAGGAGAGCTACAGAGAAAGTCTGTGTTGTCTTAGAGAATACAGATGGTTCCAGAAACAAAATGTGTTGCTAGAAATAGAGATGTTAATTATCCTTCTGGTGAGGCTTCAAAAGAAAGGGATGGACATGTGATTAGACAAAGGAGGAAGGGCAGTGTTTTTTGTGCAATGGCAAAGAACTTGCAGGATTATGTTCAAATAGTTGGTGGAGGGTAGACTTAAAAACAGTGAACTTGGACATCTGGTTAATGAGCTCTCTAAGTAAGATCTCAAAGAGAATACCATATATACTAGTGTATAAGCCGAGTTTTTCAGCAGACTTTAATGCAGTTTTTGTGGTAAAATTAGGTGCCTCTGCTGATATTCGGGTCGGTTTATAATCGAGTATATACAGTATGTGGATTCTCCTTGCTGCTTATAACAAAATGCTAGATGAAAGATAATGACTTAAGCATGAATTGTGCACACTGAAAAGTGAAAGATTTGGAAAACTCTGTTGGATAAACTGAGGACACAGGTCCTAGAATGTTCACCAAGAACTTGGTTACACACATCTTTGTTAAAGAGATTAAGCCTGTGACTGAAGGGTCTAATCAAGTATCACTATAAAAACCCATTAGCTTCCACTGAAGGGGACAGAGGAAGACAGGAATGCATGCTGTCTGCCTCTTGGCGCTAGGTATAAAGGAAGTAGGTATAAAGAGCTTCATCCGCTGTCCTCCAAGAGGGAAAAAAGGACCATTCCCGGAGCAACAGGCAGAGAAGCAGAACTGTTGGCAGGAGCACAGGATGCAGAACCTTCTTCCTTTTGAGAGTGGGAATGTGGTGTCCAGAATTACAGTGTCCTGGATATCAAGCGTGGGACCACAGCCTCTGAGGTGACAAGGAATCGATCTTTGCCGCCCAACCCTGAGGAGGCAAGGCTGTTGTGATCAAGGGTCACAAGGGACCTTGTGGGGTAGACACTCTGATTAGGAGAAAGAGGCTGTCCAATGCTGAGGGAACAAAATGGTCGTCCCAGTGAGGATAAAAAGCAGAGCTGAAGCCCAGGACCAAAGACTCTCCACCCAGAATCTAGAGGATGTGGCCAAAACTTGGCACCCTTGCCCAAGTGGTCTCAGAGAACAGAATTACTTTCAAGCCTTAAGAAAACAAAAAACCAAACTGGGTGCCCTCTCGTCTATTTCAACTCATGGGGACCCTGTAGAACAGGGTAGAAATGCCCCTGCGGGTTTCCAAGGCTGTAACTTTTTGTGGGAGTGGAAAGCCTCATGGTTCGGGGCTTGCTTGGTGATAGTTATCCCTTCTTGCCCTCCAATTTTTCTCATTTGTAATGGAAATATCTACTTGTACCTGGTCCACCATTGTCCTTTGGAAGCAGATAATGTTTAGTCTAGATTTCACAGATTCTCAGATGAAGAAAACAATCGCTCCAAAATGGAATGTGCCTAACATCTCACGCTTATTTGATTGACATGATCCGGAGGTGATATTTTGGACTTGGCGTTGATTTAAGACTTTGGGGTTGATGCGGTGAAGTGAAGGTGCTCTGCATGTGGCAAGGACATGCGTTTTGGGGGACTAAAGATTAGAATATTAAAGATTGTATCTCCCGTAGTACCCTCTGTACTTATGGTTATTATCTCACTTGGGAATGGGTTGTCTTTGTTGTGTTAATGAGGAAGCAGGGGTGTAGAGCTTATCTTGAGAAGTAGCCAACATCCAATAGAAACTAGCAAGCAGGGATGGGGAAGGGCTATGCCTACTCAATGAAGACTATCCAAGAACCGAAGCTCTGAAGAAAAAAGGACCATCCTCCAGAGCTGACAGAGAGAAAGTAGTTTCCTGATGTTGGCACCCTGAATTCAAATATCTAGACGTCCTTAACTACGAGAAATTTAATTTCTGTTTGCTAAAGGCACTCACTTGTATTATTTCTGTTATAGCAGCACTGGAGAACGGAACAGGAAAGTTCAGGAAAGCTGAACACCACAATTAAGAAGCTTAGGAACCATATAGCACCACTTCCTTGCTTCCCTCCCATCATTGGGAATTGTCTCTTTCAGGAGATCCATTTCAACAAGTATTTATGGAATGCCAACTCTGAATGTAGGTCAGGGGTGGTGGTATAAATTGATACGCAGAAACAGACATGTAACTAACTCTCCAAATTCAAGGTCATTGGCTACTGTAGGATCATAGAGGAGGGCACACTGGATTTGGGTAGGAGACTTAGCCCAGCGAGGTCGTCCTGTACTCCAGGAACATTGCTGATGCTAAATGCAGCAAATGAAGTCTGCACATTACTGCCATGGGAGGCCCAGGAAGAGCCCAGTGCTTCAGAGCAGACTGATTCCAAGGATCCAGACTCAGCTTTTAGCAAGTAGTTATTGAGGCCTCTAACATTTTACAGATGACTTAACGTTTTTATTTTAATGCCAGCTATGTTTAAGATACTTGACTATGCAGCTAGAATAAGCATTCGAAATCTATGCATGGACTGTGTGTGCCAGATTTTCAGCTTAAAATGATATGCAGATATGGGGGTCTTTTGGAATGCAAGCAGTTAGGAGATGGCCTGGATTCTTCTATTTTAAACCAGATTCTTCTATTTTAAATCTCCGGCTCGGAAAAGAAAGATCAAAAATGTTCTGTAAATATTGCCCTACTTCATCTGAAAAGTAAAAATAGAGAAAGAAAGAAAACCCCTATATTCCAACTTCTCTGCTTTTGGGTGGACTGCTTTCCCAGAAATCTCAAACAGAAACCATAAATGGAGCTAATCTAAAAGTAGAACCATCTCCTCTCCCTCCTAGCTATTATGACATAATACTCGTCAAAAATAGGAGACAGTACGGATTCTACTTCCACTGCAATGTCATCCCCATGCCTACCCTTCTTCCTTGAGCTTCTTAGTCCCCGCAACGAAGACTCTAGTTATTTTTATTAAAACTTTCAGCCAAACATAACAGGGGCACTTCTACTCTGTCCTGGAGGGTCAATCTGAGTTGGAATTTACTCTGTGGTAGTGAGTTTTATCCTTAGTGCGTGGGGCAGAGTAGACAATAAATATTGAATGCATCAGTCAACTCCTTGATTAATTCATTAATGGATTGCTGGATGAGAGAGAGAGAGAGAGAGAGAGAGAGAGAGACTGAGTGAATGAACCAACCTTATTTTACATATTGGAAAACATCATGAAAGATCAGGTGACTCATCTAAGACCTATAAGCACAGCACAGCATTCCTGCCTCCGAGATCAGTGCTTTCTGCTTCTGTTCTTTCACAATGAGGTAACCTAAACATTAAAAGTTAAATAAAATATTAATAAACCTCTGGCTCCTTCATATTAGGTCTGTAATCATTCCAGTGTTGAAATACCCAGCATCAAATGGAACCAAAGTGAAATTACTCGAGCAGGACTTCCTACCCATACAGGAAATTATGAAAGTGTCAACAGATGAGAGCTAGCCTAACCAGAAGGAAATCACAACCAGTTTTCCATCAGCTACCTCTAAGAGTATGCACCAGGAACCCTAGACTTGGTCTTGAAAGAAGAAATACCCTCTGAGATGCTTCAGGTCTCACTGGAAGTTGCATCCTCATATCCATGTACCTGAGCCAAGTCTGCTACCAAGAGTGGATTCTGACTCACGGCTACCCTATAGGACCGAGTAGAATCGCTTTGTAGGGTTTCTGAGGCTGGAAATCTTTACAAACGCAGGCTGGCTGTGTTTTTCCTGTAGGTTTAAACTCTTTGGTTATCAGTCCAACTACTTAACCCACTGTACCAGCTAGGCTCCTGGCATGTTCAAAATAGTGGCTACAAGATGCCCAAAAGCATAGACTTTATTAAAATAGATGCTAATACAGACGCTCATCCTTTTACATCCTGCTCAATAAAAATAACTTTAAATGGCCTTTGTGGTCTAGAATCCTGCTACGAGATGTGGGTTCCTGAACCAACAGCCTCCTTGGCATCCAGGCGCTTCTTAGAAATGCTGCAGGCCTCACACCAATCCTACTGAATCAGAGTCTGGATTTTAGCAAGACACCCCTGGGATTTTTTTGCATTCTAAAGTGTGAAAGTAGCAATCCAGATGTTTTTATGCCCCACTCCACTGTCATTGACTTGATTCCCATTCACAAAGGCCTGATATACGGTCTCCAAGATTGCAAATTTCTGTAGGAGCTGACAGCCTCATCTTTCTCCCGCACAGCAGCTTGTGGGTTTGAGCTGCCCACCTTATCATTAGCAGCTCAGTGTCTAACCCACAGCATCACCAGGGCTCCTTAAAAGCTTCTATCGTAATTGGTAATGATGGTGTTTTTAGTTTGTCATGATAACCTGCAACCAATTCACTTTCTGGATCTATTTACTTTGTAAGCAGAGTGTGATTACACATATACATTTACTTAATTCACCTAACAACCCACTACTATGAGCCCTTCACTACAAATGAGGTAACTAAGGCTCAGAGCAATTAGCTATGCTTGTCCCAGGTCAGTAAGATGGCAGCCCAGGTCATTTGATTCTGGGGTCCACGCTGACCAATGGCTACCATGGTCATCGGCAACCATCACCCTACAAACCGCATGCTTGATTTGCAACTAAGGCCTAACCAAGTGGGTTCAAAGGCAGATTGGCTTTTGTGTTCAGATGAACTAGCTGCACTATTTTCTGAAGAAGTCAGTTTGTAAAAGCTCACAGAACTCATTCTAATAGAAGTACTATTAGAGTTTAATTTTAAGATACAGTGGGGTTGTTGTTGAAGTGCTGTTGTTGACGTGCTGAAAATGAGAGGGCTAGGATTTTAATATGGTTTCTCTTTTAATTCAAAGTAAGTCCATGGAAAATAAATGGGGGTATGAAAGATATTTTAGAATTTATTGTGATGTCCATCATGAACGTTCCCTGAAAAAACAATCTGAACTATAAACAGTTCCATTTTATATTTAGTAACAAGCACCCTGTAAAATGGAAGGGCTTTCCTTAACCTTAATTTTAATCTGATTTGCATTTGAAGTTAAAAAATTCCTCTATTTGATTATTACAAATGTGCAAATCGAGACATGTGCGAAGACTGATATGCTTATGTCAAAGAAAGGTATGTGTGGAGCTGCTTCCAGCCGCAGGAGAGAGATGAGGCTGTTTCCACCCTTAGAGTTGTATAGCTTCAGAAACCCCATGGCACCGTTCTCTGATTCTTTAAGGCCTCTCTGAGTTGAAATTTACTTGACAGCAGTGAATTTTGACATAAATATAAGCAATGTAGAAATTTCTGCTCGTTCCCTATTGCCCTTTAACTTCTCCCCACCCCACCCCCAAATAAGTCTCTAAGTGTTTGATTGAGTCATAAGGGATGACGTAGGAAATGCCCTTTGAAGAGTTCCCTTACCCCAAACAACAGAAACACAGCTTGTGGAGAAATCATTTTCTTCACGTCCTATCATTTTGCAAAAATTTTAATTTCAGAATAAAGAGCCCCATTTCTCATCTGTCCATCTATTTATTTTCTAAATCTCACCGTCATTTCCATAGAGAGGGAAAATGGGACAATGGGGTAACTCTCAAGCTGTTTCTCTCAGCATTTGTGAAAAGCATGCTCCCTTGTGATAAATCTAAAAACCTTGCCCTCGAAGATCTTCACGTGGCTCCCAGCTCCGTGGGGGAGACTTTCTTGAGAGATTGCCAAGAGGGACGCTACCCTAGAAGACTGAAACAATTGCTTTCTCTGATTTTCGTTAGCAACAATATAGGTAAACCGTTTCCAGCCGTCATTTCACAGTGCCATTTTAAGTGGGTGTTTTCCAATCCCACGTCGGGCCCTGCCTCAGTTCTTCCCCAGGGAAAGCGTGCTCCATCAGCCTGCTTCCACCCACCTCTACGAGTCACCGTTTGAGCATGCGCACCCAGTCCTGAGTCCCGCCCCAGCTCCTCAATGCTCGCACCATATTTCTTCCCTTTGGCCCTTCTTCGGTTTCCATTTCTAGAGCTAAATGTTCTTTTTACTGATGTCTCTTTCTCTCTTTTCTCTCTCTAACTCCTTTTCCACTTTGCTACCATTATTGGGACGTAGAGTAAAGATGCTGGTATCAGGACTTTGGTTATGTTGGATGAACAAGGAGGTAAGTTCAGATTTCCTCAGTAAGAATCATGTCTTGTCTGAATAAAGTGAATTTTTAGAATTATTTTGACATGCGTTAAACATGCATTGGCGTAAAGCTTCCAGAATTCTGATTGTTTCGGTTCTTTCCCTGTTAAAAGATTGGTAAATATATGGAAAATTTGAGGCTTTCTTCATGGGTGAACAAAACCCTACTAGTCCTACTGTATCTATTGAGGTAACACAATATTGAAGGTAACACAATATTGAAGTACTTTTAAAAAATAATAGTACTTTTTATCTGGTTTGAGAATTTTGTTACTCTCCTTGCCCCCAAACTTTTCCATAAAAGTTTGATTTCTTACAAATAACTTCTAGACAGGAGAGTAGGATGCTACAGTGTCTATTTATTTTGACTGTCTTCACAGAGTATCTGGCAGGTAGATTTCCAATTTACTATGAACATACCTGAAGTAACAGAGAGCCATTTTAAGCAGGAAATGACCAGAGGGAGATTATATGGCAAATGGAAAATTGAAATAATTAAAATATGTTGCCAAAAGTATGGTTTATTATTATTCTTATGCCTAGAAGCATATTATTCTAGAAGCAATGAACATTAGAGGGCTAAGATTTTAGTATGGTTTCTCCACACCTAAAGTGGAACCTTAGAAGGGTGATAACACTCTTTTTCTTTGGTCACAATCTATCTATCTATGTGAGGATCTCCAGTGGCATAGTGGTTATGCACTGGGCTGTGATCCACAAGGTCAGGAGTTTGAAACCACCAGTGCTCCTCAGGAGAGAGAGGGGGCGGGGCGCTCTACTTCCATTAACAGTTACAGTCTCGGCAACTCAGGTCTACCCTGTCTTACGGGGTCACCATGAGGCTGCATCTCGTAGATGGCAGTGGGTTTGATTTTTTTTTTTCTATCCATGTGATAGAAAATTCTAGCCACAAAATTTCCCCTAATTCCATTCTGAAGTCTCATCATAATACATAGATTTTTTGATGAAATGCTTCTCTCTGTTCATTGCTCTGTGAAAGTATGAGAAGATTCTTAGAACTATGAGAGATTGTTATGTAAAATATAAAAACATAAAATACATTCACAGCCTGGGATACCATAAGCAAAGTCCAAACATAAACTTCAAACTGAGAGAAAAAATTGTCATATTAGGCACTTTATGACAAACATAAGGCACTTTTTTGAGAGAGAGAGAACTCTTATGTATCAAGGAAAAGGATAGTAGCCCAAAAGAAAAATGGACCTAGGATAAGAATTAATTCTCAGTTTGCAATTAAACATTTCATTAATAAACTGATTATTGTTATTACTATTGGTAAATGTATTATTTCTGAGACAGAAATCCTGATTCTGCCTCATTCAGAATCTAAGAAAGCTTCAAACAACTCTTTAGGTAGCAGGCTGGTAGAAATTTTAAAAACTGATAATAACCAGTGTTGCTGAGCATGTGGGTAAACACAGACTGTCATTCGACAGACGAGTAGTATAGACTAATACAAATAGTCTGAAGAGCAACTTTTTGAAGTGCATGCATCTTTGACCGAGACATCCCCCTTCTAGAATTTAACATTGCACATGTGCATTTCCGAGTACACAAAGAACCATGTCCGTGCCTTCTCTGGAATAGTGTCAAACTGGAAATGACCTAACTATCCATTAGTGAGGAAACTAACCAGATTAATTATGGGGTAGCCATAAAAAAGAATACAGGTGTCTTCAATTGACAATGTATTCAAATTGCAATGAAGAATTACATGTCTGTCCATCCATTTGTTTGGGGGATGGGATGGTTGCTGTACTTCCTATGGTTAGTAATATGGTCTACATGTGATGTTGCAGTGGGTGACTTGCTGATGTTTACATTTTCTTGCCAACCTCACAGACAAATAAAGATGGGATTTATTAAGATACTTATAATAAAAGCAATAATAATGAAAAAATTTAAAGGGAGATATTCTATGATAGAACTGATAGACAGTGGAATTATAGGACAGGAACTCCATCATAAATTGGGGACTACCTGTATTCTGCAACCATTACAATAAATGAGGTAACTTTTTTTAAATGACTTCTAGGGAGTTGGGGGCAGAGGCAGGGGCAGGGCGCTGCATCGATTTGCATTCTCAGGGAAGCAAATGAAAGAAATAATTAGAAGTGCAAGAGATTTATTGAGGGAAACAGTTCTGATAGATCAAGGCGAGAGAGCAAGAGTGGGAGGCAGTTAGAGCCTTCTGATTATGATGTAGGTCTGGCACCTGTGAAATGAGAGGGGGCACAAGATGACTGAATGGGGTGAACGTCACATAACAGCTGGCTAAGTCCATAGGAAAACCCCAGAACAAAGCTAGACAGTAGAGGAGACCTGTGTTGGGCAGAAATGCCCCAGCCCTAGAATTCCTTGGGGAGCTTGGCCTCAGATATAAACAACTCAGAGGATCCCAGAGGTGCCTTACGGGAGACCTCAGCTCTCTACAGTCCACCTCCAAGCAAGCGAAAGGAGTTCTGATGGACAGACCTCCATGGTTGTCCTTTAAGGACTTATATTTTTACTCTGATTTTTGTGTTAAACGTTTCTATAAGTACTCACCAGTCACACAAAATTAAAAAATCAAGAAAAAACTTTATAAAACCCCATTTGTATGGATAGACCACCTTTAATTTATCCAATCATCTGCTAACGGAGATTTGGATTGTCTCTGTCTAGTGACTAATGTGAATAACCCAAAAACAATTCCAATTTTTTTCTATCACTCACTCACAAACTGCCATCTGGTTGAAGCCCACTCATAGCAACCCTAGGACAGGGTAGAACTGCCCCTGTAGGTTTCTCAGACTGTAACTGGGAGTAAAAATCTCCATCTTTCTCCCTATACGTATTGATATAAGGACATGAAAACTAATGGGAAAATAAAACATAAAAACCTGTCATCAAAAACTCCCAGTAACCCACATGGATCAGAGTAGACCTGGGCTCCACTGGTTTTCAACGGCTAATTTTGTTAGCAGTGGATCACCAGGCCTTTCTTCCAGATTCCAACTATCAACTTTCCAGCTCTCAGCCAAGTTTAACCAGGTGCTCCGCCACTGTCAATAATGACGTTTAGATACATGATACAACATGGGCAAACCTTTACAGTTATATGCTGAGTAAAATAAGTCAGACACAACAGGACAAATATTGCACGACCCCAACTATATAAAATAGCAAAAGGCAAATGGATATTGATCAAAATGTTTCAGTGGTTGCCAGGAAGAACTAGAAGGGGGAAATGTAGGAGCATTGTTTTGCGGGAACTCAATTTCTGTTAAGGGTGATCAGAAGTTGGGAAATGAGTAGCTGTGACGGTTGATCAATGTGGTGAGTAGAATTGACGTCACTGAGTTGTACACATACAAGTGGTCCAAGTGCCAACTGTTTTGTTATATGAATTTCATCACGATAAAGGTTCAAAACAAAAACAGCTGGGTATCAATTCCAATTCTTTCTTCTGTATTTTTAGTAGAATTTTCCAAAATAGATAGTCAAAACACAGAGTCTAGTAGGGATGTATTTTAAAGCGATTCCAATCACTGTAACAGTCTTCAGAAGTCCCAAAGTGAATTTGTTATAATTAGGAGACTTGGTGGCTTCGTCTGCACAAAAGTTTCCCACGTTTTCAAACTCAAGATGTTATCGATTGATTGCTTTCCCCCCTGCATAATAGCAGATATAAGTATGGAAGAACGGTAGTTCCTACTCAGAGCAAAATCGACATATTATACACTGAACTAATTAGCAGTTCTACCTAACTCTTTTAGTTAATAATTTTCATGTAAGGCAGGTTTGGAAAAAGTTCAGGATCATGCCCACCCCCCCCCCTAACTATACATATTGATAAAAAGATATGAAAAAATCATGGGGAAAATAAATGTACAAAACTGCAATCAAAAAGAGGAAAAATAAATAGCGCATTTACTTGAGCTGCAAATGTAATTGTACTACTCTGAAAAAAAAGATACAATTTGGCTAAATCCTCATACAAACACACAACTGTAATATTCTCATGCACAAACGATTCTCAGGAATATATATCTATTATTCTCTGAAAAAACAATCGTATATTTGCCAGATTTCCCCACTAGGTAGTTAATGTTATTGGCTAAAACATTTCTACTATGGCAACACTACAGTAAATATTGACTTTCTCAGTTAAACATATGAGGAGTTCATGGAAAAATGGGTTCAAAGATAATGAAAAATTTCAATGAACTTTTTGAAGCCCTCTTATATTTCCTAAAACAGTTATGGTTTCCCTCTGGTCTTTGGTAATATATGTTTCATTTATACCATAGTATGAGATTAGGATCTTTAAAAATAACACATGTGTATAAGTTCACAACTCTCTTGCTATGCTATTGTAAATGCATTTTAGTTCTAATGTCATGTTGAGTTGTCTAGATCAATAATGGCTTCAAAATTTCTTCTCAGTAGATTCGGTTGGTTTTTTTATGCTTCAGCACCAAAAGAATTGACTATTTCTACCCAACAGCTGCAGAGAAGTCTCAAGAAGCAACTATCCTTCTAAAGAATCATTCCAGCCACTCTTTTCAGCCATTCCAGCCCACTTCAATTACCCTGACTACAGAGTTGCACTTGAAAATTGCTTATGGAATTCTTGTTTTATATTCAGTTTTCAGGAGACACTTGAACACACTCAGCAGGACACATGCCCTGGAAGTGTACTGAGCCCTGGGACTTTCATGCCCATAGACAACTTGTCTCCATTTCAAAGCAATTTTGGCACTAATTTGGGATTTTTCAAACTTTTCACCCCTGTGTCCCTGGCTCCTTTCTGCAGTTATATATTTACTTTGATGCTGAACATTCAACTCTACACTCAACACTAAAGTCTTTGACCCCCACCTACCCAGGCAGACTTTCTTAAAAGGCTCTTGGCACTACCAAGCAACATTTAAGAAAACATACTTCTTATCAAAGTCTACTCACCAATATCAATGACCATAACTGCACTGTTCACATGTCCACATGTGCCTATTTAAATTTATTTAAATTTATTTAAATGCATTTCTATATGTTCCTCAGGGCTACAGAAAGCAAACAAGATGTAGGCAACAACTTTTAATTGGATATACTCATGAAGACTTGAACATCCGCTTGATAACACTGTGATTTTGTTTTAAACCAGGTGGAGAATGCCCAGGGCCCAAGTTGCATTTCTTGATAGATATATTAGAAAGGATGTCTAAAATTAGATCCTTGGGCATCATGTGACCCCATCATAAAGGACCAGTCACCCAATCTCTTGATACAACCTGTAGTGGAAGGTACTGGGGAAGGCCCTTCCAATTCTCCTAACCCAAAACATCATTGTTCTGTCTGACTCTAAGAATAAACCGAAAACAATCAGAAAATAAGTGAAGGAGGTAAGGAGCTGTCATCCCGAGCCCCTGCATTGTATTAGCCCCAGAGATGCCATTGTCTACTTCAAACTAGAAAGAAGATATGGGTTGCTTTAAATACTTCCTTAGGGATATTTTCACAGAAGTCATGGAAGTGCTGCAAGTCCCCATAGAGGAAACATGCCCATAAATGTAACCCAGCACTCTTAAAAATCAATAATTTTAAAATACCTATGACAAATTGGTTTCAAGATACTTAAGAATTAGTATTTGACTTATAATGGTGTCTAAAGATCCTTTCAACCAATATTGGTAGGCATAAAATCGTTTTCTGAATTAACTTTTCTGAAATGGCTTCACTGCTTCCTCTAATTCTTGCCAAATAGGCTGACAGCCCATGGCAAAACCTCATTCTCAAAAATATAGCTTTGGATCATCTTTGTTTATTTTTATCTTTTAATTTAAATTCCGTAGCTCCAGGTCCAGTACTTGTGGAGTAGTCCACTTATGCATGTAATCCCTGGAGGAACAGTAGATGAGGCTCCTGAAATGTTGTTACATAGGTTATATTTTGACTGCAAGAATGTCAACTTGATTTGTGATTCATGAGAAACTCCTGGAAGCCTATACAGCTGAATATGCACCCACAATTCACAATAGGTGCTTATTGCAGTTGTATTAGTTGAGAGTCTAAACTCCTCCAATCCATCGCATCCTAGCACTCCTGGAATTAACAATTACTTGACATGGGTTTGCATCCCTATATATTAGTGGTTCAGTGGCAAAATTCTCCCTTCCATGTGGGACATCCTCATTGAATTCTAGCCAGTGCTACTCATGTGCAGCCATCACCTATCTGTCAGTGGAGCTTGAGTGTTGTTAAGACGCTAAACAGGTTTCAATGGTGCTTCCAGACTGACTAAGCAAAAAGACCTGGGTATCTACTTCTAAAAATCCAACCAGTTAATTGAAACCATATGGATCACAAGGATCTGACCTGCAACCCATCAGGGGGATGGTGTAGAGCCAATGGTATTTCATGCCTTGTACATGAGCTTGCCATTACTCAAGGGACAGTGACAGTTCCTGTCTGTGCTTATAATGGTTCTTCATTTGGTGGTGTTGAATTCATCTTTCCTCCATTAATCCTATCATTCAGTTGATTGAGTCTACAGACCAGTTTATTGCATTCTCTAAGGAAACTGGAGGAAAGCCTTTCATGATATCTTGTATCATGTAAAAGCACTTTTCTGAAATGGAAAGAACCATCATGTTAATTTTAGTGTTTAGCCCTTTTAATACATCCCTGGATTTTGCATTTACTCAGCAGAAGTTTGCCGGCATTATAATGAATTTTCTCCAATTACAAAAGAGACTGAAAATTGTGAAGAGTAGAACAAGGATAACAGATTTGCATTAAACCGAATTCTGTTCTGTAGACACTAGAAGGAGGAAACATTAGGTGAACCCATCCTACGTTTAAGAATGACAGTTTCCACGATAAATCTGAAATTACATTCTTTTTAAGTGATTGCTTTTGCCCTTAGGCTAGAAGTTTACATATCAATTTTATTCAAACCATTCCTTTATCTCCAGAGGCAAAAGCATGCATGCATGAAGGTATAAATGAAATGAGGAATAGAAATGTAATTAGGGTTTGTAATTAGTTGGTCCAGATACCCCCATTGCTGCTTTCATTTACTGTTTAAAAGCGGGTTTAAAAAAAATCCTTTCAATGAACTTGTAGTTCCCTCAATTTGTTAACACTACTTGTGAAAAAAATGAGTTAGTACATGTAACCATGGCAATCTAGAAATACAATTCACTTTTATGACTACTATTCTGTCTTTGATATGCTAAGGTCAGCTTTGCCAGCAGTAATGATATGATATCGCTTTATGTTCTAATGCATCACCCCTCCACCAAAGAGATCCATGCATTCATTCGCCCAGCTCTGCCTCTGAGATTGGTATTAACAAAATGGTTTGGTATTTAGCATGGCTTTGTTTCGTGATAAACCATGATAAACCAAACCAAATGAAACTTGTTGTTGAGTTGATTCAGAACTCATAGTGACCCTTTAGAAAACAGTAGACAAATTAGAACTGCCCTGTAGATTTTCTAAGACTTTACATCTTTATGGGAGCAGACAGCAGCATCTTCTCCCGAGGAGTGGCTAGTGGGTTTGACCTCCGACCTTGAGGTTATCTGCCCAGTGCTTAACCCATTGCACTACCAGGATCCTTGCTTTCACAATAGGGGACATCTCGGGACACAGCAGTGACATGCCTTGCAAAGCTCTCATGACAAATAAGCTGTAGGATGAAAAATAACTAAAATGTTCTAGTATTTATTACATTGTCAATATGATTTTATTTATGGCTTCTATGAATTAAGAATTCCCAACCAAGAATGGACCATAGACTGCTGTGACTAGACAGCCACTACTTGGGGAAGAAAAAAGACCTATTTGTAAATCATTGCTGTAAATTCCTGTGCTTGTTGCTTTCCCCAAAGGAGAAACTTGATTCTATTTTTTGCTTACCTGGTTGAGGATGCTTCCGACCCAAACAGGTAGATCTTGTAAAGACAAAGCAGCTAACTTATTCTCCTGGCTGGTATCCGAATGTCAAGCATGAACTAACATCCTGTTTTTCTTTCTCTTGAGTTTCACTGGTGTCGGAGTAAGTGAATATGCTGTGCTATTTCCCTGGACATTGAAAATGAAGCAGGCCTGCCTATCCCATCCCATCACGTTTGAATTACAAACGATTTTGAGCTTTTCTTTGGTTCATTGCCTTCCACTCCCGCCAGTGTAGGGCCCCGGCGGCGGCAGTCTCCAGCAATGCATCCACTTGGACAATGCACTGTAATCTCTCTCTTTCTCTTTCAAACTCCATTTCACATAGTCATTTCTCATGTTCTGTTGGAAACCCCCAAAAAATTCATTCCACACTGTCATCCCTTTGTCCTAACCAGAACAACTCGATCGTGTCGAAGAAGGCATGAACCATATCAACCAAGACATGAAGGAGGCCGAGAAAAATTTAAAAGATTTAGGGAAATGCTGTGGCCTTTTCATATGTCCTTGTAACAAGTAGGTACTGGGTACCAGCTCTAATCTGTGGCGTCCAGTTTTCTTTCTTTCTTTCTTTCTTTTCTCTTTTTTTCTTTTTTCTTCTTTAATGTCGAAGTGAATGTCTGAAGTTTTGTCTTTTTTTTCTTTGTCCTTTTTTCATCTGCTTCATTCTGTGGGGATAAAATACTTGTGTTTAATCAGAACAACTGGAACGCATTGAGGAAGGGATGGACCAAATCAATAAGGACATGAAAGAAGCAGAAAAGAATTTGACGGACCTAGGAAAATTCTGCGGGCTTTGTGTGTGTCCCTGTAACAAGTAGGTGCTGCCTGCCTGCCTGAAGCTTTGGTTTCCTCCAAGGCCCATCTCCAAGCCTTGACCAGCTCATTCCTGCCAGGCCCATGGGCAGGATGAGCATGCGGCATGCAGAACAGATCAATACCGTCTCCAATGCATTCATCTCATAGCATAGATGACCTCAGTAGGAGTTACTGTTGATGCATTAAAAATCAGGCATACTACAGTGAACGCTTCACTGTCGGCAACTTTTATTGATGAACGTTTCAACATTTTCCAGAAAGTGTACCTCAGACAGAGCCCAGCCTCCTGATGGAGGCTCCCAGAGAACTGCATTATCCCCCACCCCGAGAGCCAAAATTGCAGACTTACAAAAGCCTGGAGGTACGTTTGGAAGAAGGTGATCACATATGTCAGGTCTTTCTTTCTTAAACGTAAAAGAATCTGATCATTTGGCCCAAGCAAGCATTTCTCTAAGTGAGAGCGTATGGCACGGATCCTCCCTTTCTACCTGCTAGCCAGCTGCCAAATCTGGTCAGTCATGACTTAGCCTGCAGATGCTGAAGCTGTCCCCAAGCCCAGGGGCAAGGGCCCCCTCAGCAAGAACTGCTCAAGTTGTACCCAAATTCATCCCATTCCCCTCAAATTTGTCCCCTTGGAAGAGCTATCCATCTGTACACTGACCGAAATGTTGAAATGTGTAGATTTTGCATGCACGACATCACAAAACATTCAACTGTTCTCAGAGTTCTGCAACGCTTTTTCTTTGGAATGTAGCAGAAAATGTGACATGTGGTTATAAAATTTTGCAACGGAGGGAACCTGAAACAGGGTTCTGGACGGTAGTTTCCTTTGCCTAGCAGCGAAAAATATATGAATAAATAAATGCATGAGCAGATTGCCCGACATGCATTTGGGAAATTAAACCCGGTACTCAATCCTATGCCCCTCCCACTTCCCGTTTTGAAAAGAGCCTTTTTCCTAAAGCTTTCCTGATCCCAGCTTTTAGAATAGAAATTGACGTCATTTCTAACTGACCATATGACCATTCCTACCCTTTAAACTTTGAGGCTGATTAAAAATATCCCACTTCCTATTTAGGAGGGGGAGGGGCTCAATTTAAAAACAGATAACCTTAAAAAAATGATGATCTACAGTAAACCTTGATCAACTGGAATCTAGCTAACTGGGACCCTCGAGTGCATTTACAGTTTTGCTCTGTCTCACTTTAGCAAATCAAAGATAGTTTGTTTTTTTAAGTCATCACATCAGGGCTTGAAAGTGAGTTTTCATTCCCAGGTTAGTCGGTTACTGCTGTTCTCTCACGTAGCCTCTACCTTCCTCCAACTTCCAGCAAGAGCAAGTGCAGAATAAGAGCTGATCTTTAGATGCATAAAGAGAAACCATACCGAAGAAAGCCTCCGGGGTGTTCACTACTACCCTAAGATCCTAGGGCAGGCAAATGGTGTAAGAGTCTAACAAAGGTGTTCCCTAATCATCCTGGAAACAGTTTTCCTCCCAGACCCACTGCTAATCAAGAAAGTACTGTAATTCACCGAAATAGCCCAGTGCTCAGAATTCCAGTTAATCAAGATTGACTGTATATCCTTTCCAGTGGCAGCTTGCCCCCAGGTGAGATTTCCATCCACTCTGAATTCTCCTGTATTTTTTCCTTCATTCATCAACTTTGTATGGAGAAAGGATGGAAGCAGGGCCCCTTGGGATAGATTCCCATGTGTTTATGAAAGAATGGCCCCTATGAAGTTCACATCTTAGTTGGGACTAATTGCTGTATGCACAAGAGACCCTAACTGAGCTTCAAAGCTTGTCGGCAGTGTGCCCTATCACATGTCAATATTGCTTAAAAAACCATGTGTCACAACGCAGTTGTTGGTGGTGCCCTGGACTCTCTGAGGGCTTTGCCCTGTCTCGGCATGTGTCAAAGGACTATGATAGATGTACGGCAGTTATGTGAGTCTATGTGCAGCATTGTGGGTGCAGTGATTTGCCTTCTTTCAGAAACGCATAATTCCCCACCCCCTGGAATTTGCCAAAGATGGTATCCAAGACATTTTACATAGCAGAAAATATCACAAAGTCCGTGTGATTCCTTTTCATGTGAGGCTGGATGGGATAGAGAGTTGGAAGAAGTTAAACCAGACTATCAATTCCATTAAATGAGTTTTTAGATCCTGTCCCACTGAGTGGGCGCGTGGCCCTTTAGCCCACCAAATTCTTACCACTATAAGGACTTGGACTTATACAAGGGGATTTCAAAAAGTTCATGGAGAAATTCCATTATCTTGTAATTCAGTTTTTCCATGGAACCTTTGAAGCTCCCTTGTACACTGGATCAGAGGCATTGCTGAAGTTCCATATGTACAGTTTTCCAAATTGTCTCCAGCTTTGCTTCATTCCCAATCTACAAGCGCCAGAGCTGTTTTTAACAGATTGCTCTAGCCCTTTAGTGGGAAGGGGGAGAGGGGGAGTCAAATTCTGGTGTCTCCTAGTAGATCATGTGAAATGGAACCAAAGGAAGTTGCTATTGGACTAACAATCTTGTGGTTTCTACTATGCAAAGAACCTAAAAACATCTTTGATTGCTTTCAATTACAACACACCCACCAAAATGTGCTGCACATGTTTCTATTGGGCACAATAGGTATGCCTGGATTTTAAGTTTCTCTCCAAGGCAGCTCAGTGAAATATGGCCTGGAGACCACACCATTTCCAAACCACTCCCCCACCACAACCCCAGGATAGACTAAAGTAGGAGGTTGTAAGCACTCCCCCGCCTGCCCCTCAACCCAACAAAGAAGCCATTGAACCTGCGTTTCCAATCCTCATGAAGGCTGTTACTGCCCTGCTAGTGCCTTTCGAGAATGGTCAACTTCTGGAGTAGTTTGGCTTAAGAGAATGCTTCACTTTCTACTCATGCCTGTAGCTGGTGCACGTAGAAGACATAGAAGGGTCTCCCTTTCTGGTGCTAGATGGCTTGTTTTCTATTTTCCTGCCTTCATTTCACTACGCCTCTTTTACTTTTTGTCTCTGTGGACAAAGGTTTGTACATCAACTCTGGATGTATGGTGACTGTTAGGAAGTACCGATATATTATCCTCTAATTCAAATTCCTCTAGCTGTAACTCAGAGACCATCACCCTTGGCCAAGCACCAATCCTTTATGTCCTTCATGCAGAGTTGGAAACCTGAGTTTCCTACATGCTTTCAAAAAGACTCAAACAGGCAATCTTTGCATGATGGTGTGTAGCAACCTGTTCAATTCCGTTTGTCTTGGTAACAGTGTGTTGCTGTGGTGTGATGAACACAAATGTCCTTGGCGGTCTTGTTTTGTGTGTGTCTGCCAGTACGCTTTTCTGTGTGTGTTGTGTCTCCAAAATGTAAACGTGTCACTGAAATAGAACTCATTGTCCTCCAGCTACCTTCAATGGTGTATTAAATCCAACTCAACCCTAAAAACAAACTAAAACTAGAATCACCTGTGGACAAAGGTTATAGTCCTGACCACTGCAATTGAGTTAACTGGAAATGAAATGCTGAGTAGCTGAGGCATGGTGGTGGCCAACCGTTGGGGTCCAGTTTATGATATATCGGTATTCTCTAATGCCCTAAGTTAAAACTCATTCGCTTGATTCTTCTCAAGAAGAGGTACCAATGATGTGCTTGCTACTCCTCCCCGGGCCTTGTCACTCACCCTCTTTTTTGCATAGGCTTAAATCCAGCGATGCTTACAAAAAAGCCTGGGGCAATAATCAGGATGGTGTGGTGGCCAGCCAACCTGCCCGTGTGGTGGATGAACGGGAGCAGATGGCCATCAGTGGTGGCTTCATTCGCAGGTGAGCCTCATGCAACCAGCCCAGTCACGGTGATCTGTCGTCAAGGAAAACCCACTCAGACAAGTATAACAACTATTTTATTACTTGTGAATCTGTAAGTTCTTGATCTAGCCTCTCCTGGCTAACTCTTGCAGTGAAGTGTAACTAGTGGTCATCCAGTGGAAGATGGCCTCACTTTGTGTCAGTTGGTTGACTGGAGCTGTCAGCCAGGAGCCTCCATTCTCACCGCGGTCTCCCCAGCCAAGTAACACAAGTTGCTTACAGTGAAAGTCACATGACCATGCCCGGCATTAATGAGACAGGAAGCACGCATCTCGTTTTGTGAGTTGAATTGATTAGCACTTACTACAGCGATTTTTACAGATGTGTGGACAGAGTTAACAACGTGAAGTACTTAAAAAGATGAGCCATAGTGGGAAGTAGGTACTATTGAATGGAAAAGGAAATACGTTTTTACCAGGTCCTTGCAGTAGTTACAGCCCAGGACAACTGGCTATAGGTAGAACAAGGCAGTCACTTCCAAATTTCACAGGGAATGAAGTGTTACATGAATATTCTTGTATGTATCTGCTTTTATTCTCTAATCTCTCATTGGCTAAGCCCTAATGGAAGCCGGGAGTATAAGACCCCAGCAGAGAGAATTCAGTGTCTCTGGCCAGAGTCAAAAAAGGTCAGAGAATGGATTTGGAGGTACAAATAGAATAATGAGCATATGTGGCTTCTTACAAATAATTTCTTTTCAGGCCTAGAAGCAAAAGCACTGTAAATGTCTATAAAAGTGTAAGATATGACAAATAATAATTTATAAATTATCAAGGGTTCATGAGGGAGGGGGAACAGGGAGGGGGGGAAATGAGGAGCTGATGCCAGGGGCTTACGTGGAGAGCAAATATTTTGAGAATGATGAGGGTAATGAGTATACAAATGTGCTTTATACAATTGATGTATGTATGCATTATGATGAGTTGTATGAGCCCCCAATAAAATGATTTTTTTAAATCTCAAATTATATGGATCAGTCAGCTCATAAAAGTTCAGAAACCAGTATAATAACAATTAAATATTCCTGTAGCAAAAAAAAAAATCCCTTTTTACATGAAGCGGCAACAAAACTGGGCAGTGATTAGGGTAGTTCTTTGTACAGCCAGACCATTGTCATTGTCGTTGACGAACAGACAACCCAGATTCAAAGGAGAATCGCTGTCACATAGCATAATGTCTAGCTATATACGTAGAGCCTCACAGATGAAAATGTTGTTCCCGTGTCTATCGGTTCCCAGGGAAACGACACCAAGGGTGCTCAACATTGCCTGCTCATTAAAATCACCTGAGGAGAGTTTTGTTGCGCGTGCGTGCGGGTGTTTAAGCTCCTTGGGTGATTTTTTTAAATCATTTTATTAGGGGCTCATACAACTCTTATCACAATCCATACATACATCGATTGTGTAAAGCACATTTGTACATTCATTGCCCTCGTCATTCTCACATTTGCACTCCACTTTAGCCCTTTGCATCAGCTCCTCATTTTTCCCCTTCCCTCCCCACTCTCCCACCCTTCATGAACCCTTGATAATTTATAAATTATTATTTTTTAATATCTTGCACTGTCCGAAGTCTCCCTTCACCCACTTTTCTGTTGTCTGTCCCCCAGGGAGGAGGTAATATGTAGATCCTTGTAATCGGTTCTCCCTTTCCACCTTACCCTCCCAGTATCGCCACTCTCACCACTGGCCTGACGGGATCATCGGCCCTGGATTCCCTGTGTTTCCAGTTCCTTTCTGTACCAGTGTACATCCTATGGTCTAGCTGGATTTGTAGCTCCTTGGGTGATTCTAATGTGCAACCTACATTGAAAATCATTGAACTAGGAGGATGTTTTAGCTGCTATGATCATTTAAATAAGCTTCTCTGTATGATAAAGTTGGGAAGTTGCTTTAAAATTTTTTATTTCTCTGGTCTAGGCTTTTAAAATCTTCAGTGGACTGGTCTACAGTGGACTTTAACATGAGGGAAGGGATTTTAACCCTTCTGAATATATTGTAGCCCATATGTATCTTCGGTGAGAAATGTTAGTTAGCCACAAGATTCTACAATAAGTACTTAATGTTTTCAATCAAGAGTTAGTACCTTTTTCATAACTTCCACGCTGGACTGTGAAAGATAGCAGGATGGTAAAAGACACTTTGATAACCAGCTCCTTCCTCTCCACTTGTTGCCACTTAAACTGGAACGACGAACTTTTAACACGGCTTTTCTCCTCTGAAATCCCCTCTTCACAAACTACTAAATGCTCCATGGCATTAAAATAGTAGCAAATGAAAATCGTCCTGAACAAGTAGCTCCATTTGGCATTCTTGGGAGCATGCAGGATGAAAGGGTGGGCTCAAATGAGCATTACTCCTTTCGTTGACATTGGTCTCGACAGGGAAAGAAATGTGCAGAGATTCTGTGTGAGCACAAAGAGCCTTTCTCTCATTCTGAATTTAAGTCGTGGAGACTTCAATCGGCATTCTAGAAAAAAATATATAGTTTCTATCTAGTTCCATTTTCATGCTCCGTCCTTGAGTTCTCCCAAATAAATTGTTACCCTTTGTATTAGTCTGGGTATTTTGGAGAAACAAATCCACAGCAACTCATATATAAGAGAGAATTTTATGTAAAGAAAAGGTGCATCACGAAAACATCCCAACCCAATGCTGCCCAAGCCCACAAGTCCAACATTAACCCATACCCAACACCAGTCCACAAAGTCCTCCACCTCACAAAACAGAGGCAATGATGCCGACTGCAGGAGGGAAGCTGAGTCCGTGAATGAACAAGCATCTCAGCACTAGCAGGGGTCTCCACAGCTGCTCCAGCACCCAGGGCTGCATCAGGATAGGTCCATGTAGCTTCTCCTTGGTGATGTCTTGTAGGAAGTCAATCTTGCAAGCTGAAGCAGGGAACTGCTAAGGCAGCTGCACCCGGTGCAACCATCACAAAACAAGAGACCCGAGACCTAGAAGGGCGAAGCTTCACCACCCATTTATCCCTCCGCCTTTCAACCAGCACCACATGCGATTATATGCCAGGCTGGCTGTGGTTTTTTGCCTGGTGGGTTGACCCAGACCTTCATTCCTGAGGGGTCTGGATCATTATAAGTCCTGTCCGGATTGGGTTGCTGTACTTTACCATTTACTTTAATCACAGGGCATGGTAGCACTAAGAGTCGGCCTATGGGATCTCCTGGATTCCAGACATATTCTTCTTTACCTCCATTATGTATCACAAAACAAGAGACCCGAGAACTAGAAAGGCGAGGCTTCACCACCCATTTATCCCTCCGCCTTTCAACCAGCACCACATGTGATTATCGGCCAGGCTGGCACAATTAACTAACTCACCCTTGAAAAAGAAAGACCTAGATAAAAATGTGAGGAGGAGTGAGGGAAGTAGATAAACCCATCTCTTTCACATGCTTTCTTTAAAAATAGAAACTCAAGAGTTCAGAGATACAATTTTTAATGTACAGAAGTTAAAATATGTTCTTGAATTAAATAGATGTTAAAAATATAAATATTGAGAGTAATGAGATCTATGTTTCCTCCGTTTGGGACCCTTGGTACCTGAGTATTTTCCTACCTTCTATCTTCTAAAAATTGCTCTTTGGCCCCCAGAGTAACAAATGATGCCCGAGAAAATGAAATGGATGAGAACCTGGAGCAGGTGAGCGGCATCATTGGAAACCTTCGTCACATGGCCCTGGATATGGGCAATGAGATTGATACACAGAATCGCCAGATTGACAGGATCATGGAGAAGGTGAGTCTCAGGGGGGGGGGCCAGCAAGTTGCTGCTGTGTCCCTTTCTCTGAAATGATCACTCAGAAAGCACGAAGGGCCCAACACAGCCCCGAAACCAGGACGTTAGATTCAGTTTACTTTGATACCCGGAAAATTTTACCATAACTTTTCAAGACAGAAACATAAGATTCAATGATAGAATCAATGTAAAGATAAGATGGTAGAATTTCATCTAGAAAATATTACTTGGGGACCCTTTATGCCAGGCATTGTGCTAGGCTAGGAATGATGGGACATAGAATGCTGGTGAGAAGGAGATCATCATGACCACCAAGCACCGGACAGCCTAGGAGAGGCACTGACCCACCAGATAAAGTTATGACGACTCAAAAAAAGATGACTGCCCAAGGGAGCCACAGAGAGAACCCTAACCAGGGAAGATTTCAAGGGGCAAGAGTGGGGGAATCTCAGAAAAGAACAAATCTACATTGAGTCTCGAAGGACGGCAAGGAGTTTGTCAAGTGGATGTGGTGTGATAAGTCAGAAAATCATTGGAGAAAGAATTACTACTGTCACATAGCAAGAAAAAGAGTAGCTCAACCAGGGTTCTCTAGAGAAACCGAACCAAATGTAGATCTGAATGCAGGTTTAGCTGTTTATATCTTTATGTGTTTAGACATAGGTCACAAAACTTATTTGGCCTACCACCCCTTTTTCTGAAAAAAAAAAAAAAATTAGTACCCTCTTGGCAATTAAAAACTTTTGTACTATATGTAGCCCATAATCTAGGATAAAATGTAGGTATCTGCTAGCACCTCCCCAGTAAGTGCTACCGCCCACTATGAGAACCACTGATTTAGATATAAATTTATTTTAAGGAATTGGCTCACACAGTTGTAGGGTCTGGCAAGCCTGAAATCTGTAGAAGATTTAGGAATCTGGAGATTCCTACAGTCTCGGGTCCCAGAATCCATAAGTCAGGTAAAGGGGAAGAGTGAAGAGTGGAGGAATACTGCAAGATGAATATTCATGGTCTGTAGAACAAGTACCTCCTAGGGAAAATGCCTTTTTGCTCTTTAGACCTTCAACTGATTGGATAAGGCTCACCCCCATGATGAAAGCTACATCTACTTAAGGGCAACTGATTTAATTGTATGTAAATGCTTCATGTGATTGGCTACTGGCTGAAAAGTTGTCAGTACAGGTCCACTCAGAAACATCTTTCAAAAGATCACACGGAGCACAGTTCTGTGAAACACATGAGGCCACCGCGAGTCAGAATGGATATTTTGGGTTTCACTACTTTAAACAATAACTAGAGTAGTGTTTGATCAAATAACTGGGCAGAATAGCCTACTCAAGTTGACATATAAAATGAACTTTGAAAATGAGAATGAATTTTGCTTTTTATAAGTGCATTATAAAGCTTTAGTGATAGTGCAAAAAAGACCCAATTTCATTTCAAATCCAGCAGTACATATCCCCATATGGCAAAGTAGAGAACTCATTCATATCTGATGAGGTTTAATTCATATAGTAACTTGGCTCTAGAGGACTAAGACCACAAGTGCTAATGTGTAGCATCAGGAAGCTTGAAGAGAATGACATGGGAACGAGCAGGTTTGGGGGGGCTTAAGATTACAAGGGGAGTGAAAAATTACAGAAGTTTCTATAAATTTGGGGGTACCAAATTCTGATACTTGACACTACACAAATCTAACAGAGTTTCGATGACCTTGTGTTTTACCAGCTCCCCAATTTGTGTGATCTATAATTTTGCTTATTCCTTCAAATGTTCAAATGCCAAAAGCGAGAAATAGACACATTGTAGGTTTCATAGTAATTGTGCATGAATAATCCACTTTATGTCGTTGCTCTTACATGAATCTCCTAGGAGTTCATTTCCTGGGTATTCATTCCAGTCAACACTTTACATAACTCCTATTTCAAAAATAATAATCAGGACTTGTCTTAGACCTCATGTATTTCCTGGAAGTTCTGAATACTTGTGTTTTGAGCCTGCGACTCTGGTTTTCTTTGTAACAATCCATTCCACTCTGGAAAAAGCAAAGAAAATGCTTTTGAGATTTCTCAAAGGCTAACTAGTCAGTGTTTTGGTGCGCAAGCAGCCTCCACTAACTGGAAAAAGGAATGAGCAAAACATAAAGGGAACACTTTGCCCTGTTGTGTTCTAGATGCTGTGTCCTGAAAGTATTTGATGGTAGGGTGTTGTATTAGTCTAGGTACTTTGGAAAAACAAAACCACAGCAACTCACGTATAAGAGAGAGTTTTATGCAAAGAAAATGTGCATCACGAAAACATTCCAACCCAATGCTGCCCAAGCCCACAAGTCCAACATTAACCCATACCCAACACCAGTCCACAAAGTCCTTCACCTCACAAAACAGAGGCAATGATGCCGACTGCAGGAGGAAAGCTGAGTCAGTGAACGTGTAAGCATCTCAGCACTGGCAGGGGTCTCCACATGGCTGCTCCAGCACCCAGGGCTGCATGGGGATAGATCCATGTGGCTTCTCCTTGGGGATGTCTTGTAGGAAATCCATCTTGCAAGCTGAAGCAGGGAACTGCTAAGGCAGCTGCACCCGATGCAACCATCACAAGAGACCCGAGAACTAGAAAGGCGAGGCTTCACCACCCATTTATCCCTCCGCCTTTCAACCAGCACCACATGTGATTATCGGCCAGGCTGGCACAATTAACTAACTCAGGTGTTTTGCCTGATTGGTATTGGATTGCACAAATATCAGTGTTGGCTGGCAAATGCCTGTGCTCTGCTGATTTCCTCAAGTCGTGACATGCATATTATTGTTGAGAGATCTTTGATATACTAAACCTTTTAAAACCATGCAAGTCGGTGATTTTGTTTTCTTAAATGAACGATACTGAGAGTTTCAAAAAGCCCTGGAGCCAACACAATCTGACTTAATCATTTATGGCCCTGAAAGATGACCTAAGCATTGTTGAACTGCTTTCCACTGAGAAAATCAGTCTTCCAAAGCTCAGGACATATTCATATGCTATCAATGCATCCAGCTTATTCACCGAGGAAGGTAGATAATGCATCAAAGCCCATTAGTTCTAAAAGAGATTTTACTAATGGAGAGATCAAACCTTTATTGATCCAGTGGACCTTAAGCATGAAAAATTGCTCCTGGAAAGGCAAGTGGCAAATTAATTTCTGTCCCTGTGCATTTCTGTTTCTCGTCTTTATTGAAAATCTTTCATTTTGACCCCAATATACTGCAAAGGCAGAAACATAGGCAACCTCAAAAGGCTTAATCGAAAGCACAGATGGATGAGAAATGGCCACTCTTGTTTGTGTAATTCCTTGAGTGCTCAGTGGAGGAGGGACTAGTTGACTTAGAATAATTAATTCATTCCAGTCAACAATTAACCTCTATTTGAAAAATCATAATCTGGACATGCGTTAGAGGTCATTTCAACCTAGTATTGCTCCAAATGATACATGTTATGTGGACTGCATAATTATTAACAGATATCCTCACTTCTGGTAACAGGAAACAGAGTGCAAAAATCTCCTGCACATTGAAGATGTAATTAAAATCATAGTGTAGAAGTAGGGAGAGTTTTTCACTCTTTCTGTACTCCCTCGACCCCAACACCATCATGATGATCCTTCCCCATCACTTGGGTTAATAAATACTGAGAATGTTTAAACATTTATTAAAAAATTAATAAATGTTGAGAGTCCAGAACAGTGAGATCTATCATACAGTCATGTGGGCTGCCAAGAAATTACTTGGGTCTATTTACAAACCTTGTTTGCTGCTAATGACGATTACAAAGGTACACTTCTTTTAGAAAAGCACTAACTCGGAGTCAGGACTATGCCGTATGCTTTCTGGGAATGATTGCTAAGGCAATAACCTGGTGAGCGTCAGATTTCATTTCACACAGCCAGCAGTAGCTGTCACGGACAGAGAGTGATGTTGTGAAGCCACAGTTTCTGCATGGCTCTCTTTCTTCCATTGATGAAAAATCCCTGAGAACTAAGCCCTGGGCTCTAGAAGCATTTTGCACTCATCAGCTCTATCGTCTTGTTGCCTCTGTCAACATTGCCTCTTCTGATGGGGAGACTAAGAGAAGAGTTTGGACCTAGGCTTGAATGGCTGCCATGTAGGGGAGGGGCATCCGTTTCTGGCAGTCTGAGCTGGAGCCCAGTGTGAGCGCCAGTTTGTGAAGTTGCAGAGGTGGGGACTGAATAGGTTCTTCTATTTCTCTCACTGCGTCATTCTTACTTTCTTTTTTTTTCTGTGTATTTTTAAAATCATTTTATTGGGGGCACATACAACTCTTATCACAATCCATACATACATCAATTGGGTAAAGCACATTTGTACATCCTTTGCCCTCATCATTCACAAAACATTTGCTCTCCACTTAAGCCTCTGGCATCAACATCTCATTTTCCCCCTCCCACCCTGCTCCTCCCCCCCTCGTGAACCCTTGATAATTTATAAATAATTATTTTATCATATCTTACACTGTCCGATGTCTCACTTCACCCACTTTTCTGTTGTCCATCCCCCAGGGAGGAGATTATATGTAGTTCCCTGTACAGGAGCAAATCATGGCCTAGGTGAGGTAGACCAGCAAGTTTAGGTTACTCTAAACAGTAGACGAAATCTTGATGAAATGAGATGGGATGTCTTCTATAAATAAAGTCTTAAAGCACACAATTAAGACAAAAGCGGAGCTATTCGGAATCAGGAGGATACCGAAAAGGAGATTCTTTAAGGATTTAAAACAAAAAGGTTTTCATAGACTGTAAAAAAGATGTGATATGTTTTATGTTGGGTATTGTGTGGGCTGAAATTCTTGAGGTGCTTCAGAAACAATCCAGGTGGCATCCACAGATGCTCAGTCACTGTAGATCTGTTCCAAACCCGCATTTTTCTAGAACACCTGCAAAGTAATTCTCCTGCTCTCCTTAAAAGCTCACTTGTTCCCCGTCTGAAAGGCTCAGCAGTACATTTCTGATCCAACAAATCCTAGAAATTTTACTTCCAGAAAGGATAATAAAATATTTTGGCTTTTTAAAATAGACAGCTTTCCTTGTCTAGGTTTTTTTCAGAGTACAGTTTTGGGGGGAGGGGGAATCAGCATAATTTTATCTTCAGGAAATTTCATATTGGTCTGAGCTCATGGTTTTCCTTTAGACCAGTGGTTCTCAACCTTCCTAATGCCTCGACCCTTTAATACAGTTCCTCATGTGGTGGTGACCCCCCCAACCATAACATTATTTTCATTGCTACTTCATAACTGTAATTTTGCTACTGTTATGAATCAGGCAACCCCTGTGAAAGGGTCATTCAACCCCCAAAAGGGTTGCAACCCACAGGTTGAGAACCACTGCTTTTATACCAACGTTTCATTGTTTCTAATGGGATTTGTAGTTTATAAAGGAGGATTCAGGAGCCAGAGAAAATTGGAGGGATTAGTCATTTTCTAAAAGCGGTGACTAAGGTCCAAAACATGATTCTACCTATAGGTCAAAACAACGAAAATCACAATGCAAATACTTGTTCTGGAAGAAAATGGTTGAGTTATGAATAATCTGGAACCATTTCTATCTTAACTTTGTCAATTTTCATTTGAAAATGGGTAGCTTTAATGTTCTAAAAATCCACACTTTAATCTGAATAAAAAACACTCAACTCAGTAGCGATTGGAAAGCATGACGAATTAATTGTGAGCAAAGTTAACTTGAAGCGTTAGCACTCACAACAGGCCAAAGCAACAACCTCAACGGACGCTTTAACTTCCTCTACTTACTACTTTCTTATGATAACAGGAAAAATGAACTTTCTAGGATTTAATGGCCTTTCCTGGTAGCAGCCCTGGATTTTAGGCTGCATATACAATAGTAAATCTAATAGTAGTGAGATCAAACAGGAGTCTAAGTGAGCAAGGCAGAAAATTATGGTAAATGCACCTCTATGAAAAATAAATCAGTTATCCAAACCATGGGTCTAAGTCTTTAGAAACATAGTTTCAAAACTCAACATTCTAAAAGCAATAGCCATAACTTCAAGACAATATGCCTTAATTTTTTTAAAATATTGCTCTAAGCCCTTCATGTATATAAACTCACTTAGTCTTTACAACAAATCTAAGTGGTGTGGTGATTAACACTGTGATTAATACAAAAACAAAAACCCACCTGACTGCTATTGAGTTGCTGCCGACTCATAGTGACCCTAGAGGGCAAGGTGTGTTTCGGGGACTCTCCAGAGGAATAGAAACCCCGCCCTGAGGACTGGTGATTTTCAATTGTCGACCTTGTGGAGAGCAGCCCCATGTGTAACCGCTTTGCTGCCAGGGCTCTCTGGTGATTCATAGGCCACTTGAATGCTGACCCCAGCCGTCTTCCAGGATGCTTGTGTTCTGATCCTGGTTCGCCCTCCTTTTAGAGCTAAGACTTCAGAGAAATTGCAAAACTTATATCGGACTGGTTTGTTCACTTGGGAAAAGGGACTAAACTAGTTGATGTTGTCCATCTTCAGGTCAAAATAGAACAAGCAGGACATTAGGTGTCCATAGTAACATTGTTCTTTATTGTCTCTGGCTATCAATGAGAAAACAGCCCCCAGGAGATGTTAATTTTCTCAAAGTGACACAGCTCAAAAGTTAGCCATGATTTGAACTCAACTGCACAAGTGGTAGTAAATACATACCCACTGCCATTGTCAATTCCCAGTCACTGCGGCCCTGTAGGACAGAGGAGATGTGCCTCGCAGGTTTCCAAGGCTTTAGAACGATGGAAGAAGAGTGCAGCAGCTTCTTCAAGCAGAGTGCTTCAAACCAGCGGCCTTCTGGTTAGCAGCCCAATGCTTAATCAGCTGTGCCCCTAGGGCTCCTTTAAGTAGTAATTCAGCTCAATCCAGTAAATATGAAGGTTTGCTAGAGAAAGCCCTGGGTATTACTCCAGGGACAGAAAGAGAAATGATACAGCCCTCCTCTCAAAAGGACGTTACATGGTGGGCAAAATAGCCATGAGAACAAAGATCAAGCTTCGATGGTCACATCTAGTGTAGCACTAAGCAATGGTTCTGGAAACGCAGTACTGACTGAGGGATTTTCAAGCTGGCTTCCCACAAGTGATGGCAGTTGGACTGGGCCAAAAAGGGTGAATGGAATATTACGGGCTAACCTATGTTCTTCTCGCTTCCCCCCCCTTTCCAGGCTGATTCCAACAAAACCAGAATTGATGAGGCCAACCAGCGTGCAACGAAGATGCTGGGGAGTGGTTAAATGAACCCATCTGAATTCTCTTCTAATGCTGTCAAGCAAGATAGCAACTTCATGCTTTTCTCATGGTATTACATAGTAGGTCTGCACATACCCATCTGCCCGTCCTCCTTGTGAATGTTGTCCTGTGTTATCCATCAGCTCCCAACAACACTATGTGTCTTTTGTTCTCTCTGGGTCTCTTTCTTTCCAAAGGTTATAGAGAGTGGACATTTGGTGGCTCGAGTTCCCTACGTTACAAAATCTTTGATTTTATTTTTCCTTTAGTCCCCTCAGTGGCGTTTGCTGAGTGACAACAATTTAGGAATGCTCAGTGTGCTGTTGATTCCCTCAATACACAGTATTGTTCGTGTAAAACTGTGACATTCCACAGAGCGACTGCCCCAGTCCTTCCTTTGGTGTCAGGCTCTGCCACACTAAATGTGCTGCCCTTGCTTCCTCCTGGCAAACATCTGTCTTTATGAGTTCATGATTAGACAATGTGGAATTACATAACCGACACTGCACTAAAAGTTATGTGATTGATGCATTTATGCATGAGAACTAAATAGGATTTTAGATTCCTCCTTAAACAAAAAACTTTCCACGACAGTAGCTTCCTGAGGAGACAATGTACTCACACAATAGCAGCAACAACAGCAAAGCAACAACAACGCATGCTCAGTATTGAGACACTGTCAAGATTAAGTTTTACCAGCAAAACTGCAGTCGTGTCCCTTTCTGTTACTGTATAGACGTATTCATCATAATCATCCTTTTTTTAAAAAAAAATGAATTTTAAAAAAAGATGGATTTCACATACCATTTAATCACTTCCAGAAACATTTACCGTATATACTCGAGTATAAGCTGACCTGAATATCAGCCGAGGCACCTAATTTTACCACAAAAACTGCATTTAAAAATGTGCTGAAGAACTCGGCTTATACACGAGTATATACAGTACTTTGGCTGAAACTATGTCAAATGGATGTAATATAAGGTTTGTTTCCTGCTTTTGAAGGCTCTGTTTGAAAGAGGCAATCTTGCTATGGAGCAGTGTGGAGATGTAAATTTTATCAGGCTGACTCTTATTAATTGCCATTTCCCCTGTGGTTTGTTATCAGTACAATTCTCTGTTGCTTAATCTAGAGCTATGCACACCAAATTGCTGAGATGTTTAGTCGCTGATAAAGAAACCTAAAAAAAATAATATAATGAATGAAATATAGATAAACTGTGAGATGAATATCATTACAGCATGTGATATTAAATTCCTCCTGTCTCCTCTGTCTGTGAAGTGATTGACATTTTGTAGCTAGTTTAAAATTATTAAAAATTATAGACCCCAGATGTCTGCTTCCATTTCTTCGTGGACCTTGTCTGATTTTGCACTCGCACAAGAAGAAGGAGCCAGATGTCTTAAGCTAGTGCGGCAATGACAGAAATACCACTAGAATTTGTAGTTTTAACAAACAGATCTATTTCTTACAGTTTGGAAGACGAGAAGTCTGATTCAGGGTGTCAGTGCAGAGGGGAAGATGGCTCTGTCAGCTGGAGAAAGGCCCTGTCTCCTTAAGCTTCTACTTCTGGAGGTCTTCAAGCAGCTTGGCATCCCGGGCACCACCCTCATCCCTTGTATCTCTCAAGAGAGTGACTCCAGAAATGCCCCACACTAACTGTGCCTCATTAACATAACAAAGCCAGCCCCCTCCCAAGTGGGATTATAATCACAGGCAATAGAGGTTAGGATGTATAGCATATTCTTCGAAGGGGACAAAATTCAGTGCATAACATCAGATACATAACTCCTCCTTGTTCTTAAAAGGCAGTTCTTTGTGCTCAGGATGCTGTGTGGAAAAATCATATCCCTCTTAGACATGAAGCTAATGGTTGTGAAGAGTTGTGTCCTTGATTTCCATAACATGTTTTTGAAATATTTTATTGTGGCTACCGTGTTGGCTATGGAAGAAAGAATCATTTTCTAGTTGTCATAGAAAACAAAATTCAAATCTGGTTGACCCCTGTGCTACTCAGACTTGGCCCTGCATAGAGTCAGGGATAAAGTCATCGTTTCAGGAGCCCTGGTGGCACAGGGCTTAAGCAAGCGTCAGTTCTACTCAATCCTAAAGGGCCACTATGAGTCAGAATTTGGTTTCAGTGGGCAGCACAATTATTAAACACTTGATTTCTACCCTGAAAGACTGGAAGTTCAAAGTCACCAGTCACTCTGTATGGGAAAGACCTGGCCATCTGGGCTCTTCGTTAAAGATAAACATTTAGGAACCCTTTGGGGACAGTTCTAATCTGTTCCATAGGGTCACTTTGAGGAGAATCAACTCCGTGACACCCAATAGGCACCCTTTCTCTTCTCTCCTCTTCCCAGCGTCTCCACCACGGAGCCTTCATTCTCATGACCGGCCATGGCCAACTCACCACCCTGCCCTCAAGTTCATTCCGACTCATAACCACCCCCAGTTTCTTCTGTAAAACATTTTTTTCTTGATATACCTTCAGATCCATGCATTTAAAATGTCCAATGTAAGAGGTTTTAGTATAGTCCCCAAATTGTACAATCTAGTTTTAGACTATTTTATCACCCATAAAAGAAAAACTGCACCTGTGAAGGCAAGCACTTTCCCCGCTCTCCCAGCTCTAGGAGACCTTGAATTATTTCCTGTCTCTAGGCATTCACCCCGGAGCCCTGGTACCATGGTGGGTTATGGGTTGGCCTGCTAACCACAAGGTCAGAAATCTTGAATGCACCCGGTGCTCAAGCTTTCTGCTTCCATCAAGATTTACAGCCTTAGGAGCACACAAGAGTATGTTGTACTTTGTCCTATAGATTTGCTATGAATTAGAATCGATGCCATAGAAAAAGGGGTTGGTGTTTGGTTTACACGTTTACCTATTCTGAACTTTAAAAAATATATGTTTGGATGATCAGTACCACCTATAGCACCGCCTCCTCCAGTGCCATCGTCTAAGCACCCATTTCATGGCCTGCCCGGTCACAGTCATCACCTTTACCACTTCAATTTGCTACCTGTTCACATTTTGCTTATCTTCACATCTTTAATTATCTCTCTTGGAACCTTTTGAAAAGTTGTTGTAGACATCATAGCAACTTCACCCCTAAATACTCCAGAAGAGACTTCCTCAGTGAGTAAGGAGGCAGATTCAGAGAATGCAACAAGGTCCAAGAATGAGTGCCAGCTCAAATGTCTTCAGAAAAGTCGAAGGTGCTGAATCTCTGGTCCAAGTTTAGAGCACCATCTTAACTGGTCCCCTACAATCACTGGTCTATTAACTCACCTTACAGCAGGTCAGCTGTGTACTTCCGGTTCTCCATCTAGGCTTTGTGAGTTCAAATCGATCCCCTGGATTATAAGGAGCTTTGAAGAACAGGAAGCTAAGAAAAAATAAAGCATTAAATTATGTCACCCTGTTGTGTGCATTGAATTAATTCTAACTCATAACAGTCTTACAGATTAGAATGCCTCACAGGTGGTCATCTTTATGGGGGCAAATTGCCAGGTGGTTTCCGCTACAGAGCAGCTGGTGGATTCAAACCACAACTTTTGGGGTTAGAAGTCAAGTGCTTAACTGTGGAGCCACTAAAACAAAGCAGTAGCACAAGAAAGAAACAATTCCTGTTGCTATCAAGTCAATGCCAATTAATAACAACCTGGTAAGACTTCCATGGCTGTAATCTTTACAGAAGCATGCTACCACATCTTCCTCCCATGGTTCAGGGGCTGGGTACAAACCGAACAGTTAGCAGCTGTCCGGTTTACTTAACCACTGAGCCACCAGAGCTTCTTCACTTAACCCTTCCAGAATCTCTGTGTGGAGAAAACAGTTAATATGGCTGGCTGATAGCTGGAATATTAGAGGTTCCAATCAATCCGGAGGAGCCTTGGAAGAATGATGGGATGATCTACTTCCAGAAAAGTCCTAGGGAGCAACTTTGCCACACAGGGGCTCACCATGAGTCAGAGCCAGCTCAATGGCAACTAGTGGTAGTATTAACCCTCATAAAATCCAGTCCAATTCCCATCGAGTGCATTGTCTCCTGGCAACCCTGTGTGTCACAGAACGTATCCTACAGAACATATGTTTATGGGAGCAGATCACCAGACCTTTCTTCCGTGGAGCTGCTGATTGAGCTTGAACTCCCAAACTTTCAGATTAGTATTAGTCAAGTACAAACTCCTTAGACTACCCAGGAACTTTCTTAGTAACCAGAGGACCCACAACCATTTCTTGGGTGAGGTGCCAGAGCACCAGTCCCATGCAGAATGCTGCCAGCTGATGTCCACACGCAGCCATTAGACACAACCTTTGGCTCCTCTAAATTCTTTCCATTCTGCAGCTCCAAAACCATTCGGTTACATAAGAGATTTGCTGCAAGGAGTTCACAAACCTCTTTCCATAGGAGTTAAAAAAGATTTGGCTCAAGACTCTTCTGGCAGAATTTGCTGGTACCTTGTGCACATCCCTCTGACACGAACCTTTACTCAATATTGTCTCTTTGCATTGAAGAGCCCTGTAATCCTCTGTGTTAGGGCAGGGAAAGTCAGAGGTATGCAGTTTTAATGCCTCTGAAACAGCCTTCAACCAAGAATGGATGGTGATAGGAGACTGACGACACCAACTTCCTTGACCCCAAGCCAGGGTCTTTCTAAGGTGTCTCTGAATGTTCCCCAAAAGAATCCATCTCCAGCACATGATATGTTGTCTGGTAATGATCGCACTGTTGGCTGCCTCCTCTTCTTTCTCACTCTCCCACACTTCAACTTGTGCTTCCTGGAATTCCGTCTCCAATAAACTATTCCTAAAATCTTTGTCTCTGAGTCTGTTTCTGGAGGATCCCTAACAACCCTTCTCATGTGACTCATGGCAGTTCCTGAGCACCGTCCCCAAAACACTGTAGAGAAATGTGGTCCACCTACTTCCCAGCTCACTTTGGACCCACCCTTCTTCAACAACATTCCTTCAATTCTTAGCGCCTGTGTTTAAAAACTCCTGCCTTTGTGTTGAGTAAGGAAGTGCATGCAATACAACACCAACTATTGCCTGAGCCAGACCCCTACATTCTCTGCTCTGTAATCACCCCCACACCCTCCCCAAATGAGTTGTTGGGATGCAAGCGTATCGGAAAAGGCAGTGTTCTGCCATGCACGACGTTATAAACTAAAGAGTAACATGAAGGTGATTTGGAAGAAGATCCAACCTTAATAAGCCTTCCTTGAGCCTTAATTTACTTATTGGCAAAGTGTGTCTAATGATGCCTATCTATTTTATGAGCTACTTGGGAAGATCCACTGGGACAATATTCATCAAAAGGCATTGTAAAGTCTTAGAGTAGGAAAAAAATGTGGAGCAAAATGCAAATCATTAAAAAAAGGGACCAGGCCTCCTATCAGAGGGGAACCTGGGGGAACTACCAAGTCATGCTTCAAATCTGGAACTCAACTCACCCCTGTGGCTCAGTTTTTAGCCAAACAATAGGGCTGTCTGGGGAACAATGAGTCAGGTATGCGTACCGTAGAATAATAAACTCCTTAAGGTCAAAATGGTAGCCTTTAGGCAAGTACGGCATTCAGAAGGCTTGGGAAAGGAGCAATGGAAGCAGAAAACAGGGAGGAAGTGGGACTCGTGATGTTACAACAAAGGAATTGCCATCAATGAGATGAAACAAATATGTTTGAATTGTCAAATATAAAATGAACAATCTGTAAATTTTCACTCAATTCACATAAGGATTTTTTTAAGTCGTGAAAATGAAAGTTTTATAAATCTAAAAGTCTTAGAGGTGGCCCAGATGCTGGCTAAAGTGAAAGAAAGCCCTATCAGAGATAAAAATAACAGTCCCTTGCCCTCTCCTCAGTGCACAGTCACTGTAGATGCACATCAGATATATTCACTAGACTTTAGCTTAGGTTTTCCAATCAAAGACGTTTCAAACCTTTGTCAGATCTAGCATTCATTGGCAAATGTCTCCATCTTCCTAGCTGTAGTAGTTGAGACACTGTTTTCTACCATTAAAGTTCTGTTGGTCTCTCTCTTCTTCACCCCAAGCTCATAAATGTCAAGGATATTTGCATCTCTTTCTCCATTGCGTATGGCTAAATTGGGAATCATTTCCTAGATGCTGCTATATGAACCAACTGAATGGTATATTTAAGATAAGTATACACTCAAAATTTCTATCCTAATATCTTTTGTTATTAGCATAACAATGTCATTATTGATAATAGGGAAAACAGGCAACGGATTCCAGGAATGCAGTAGAAGTTTGTAAACCTATATAACAGTGAGCTATTAAATCATCAAATGTGTTATTTA